GACGGTATTTCTTGCTTGTACAAATAACCATGCAAGTAATTGAGATACTATCACCTTAAAAAAAAACTGTTCAAAAACTAATTTCGTTTTGCTCCAAGTGCCAAGAGTCTTTTACTTCAGTGCTTAAGTATCATCTGAAAGTGTTTTGTTTTTGATTTGCTCTGGTTAAGCAACGATGAAAACCCAGTCAAGTTTCTCAGTTCATTCAAGCAGAACGCAGTCTGATGCTACCCAATATGATTTGCTCCTCGTGCGCATATACCAGGAATTACGGGACATTGCTAATGCTTAGTGGTCGCTGTGACATAGATTTCTAAGCAATTATGACTCAACACGAGCAGTTGAACCTCCGAAATAAACACATCTATCTAACTATAGAGACTACAATGAGGTAAGAGGAAATATGGAATTGAAAAATGGGACACCTTGTTGTATGAGACTTTAAGATTCTGTTTATCGGTTTGATTAAAAAGTGATACACCTCGTTAGGAATACAACACAACAATGCACATCCGATCAACCTATTTTTTCATGATGCGGTTGGAGCAGCATTTTGGATAATAACATGCGATTGATTGGGTTTACTCTGTGGACTGAATCATACCGCCGTGCGACCAGAAATCATCCTCAAGTTATAACTTCACCGGTATTGTTATTGTTTCTGGTCCAAATGACTGATACCCCTAGTTAACCTAGTTCGGAATAAGCAAAACGTTTGGTTTGTTAATTTTGGCTTTTCGGGTTATATATGACCCCTGAAAACCAAACCAAATTTGTCTTTTCGCAATAATCTGAAATAAATTTTGCTATGAATACAAAAGACCTCTGTAAACTGAGGTCTTGCTTCAGTGTTCACTGGAATAAAGGCCAAAACTGGATTAAAACAGGCTCATGCATGATGATCATTTGTGATTTTAGCTGTTGCCCCTGTGTGTCTCAGATTTGTATCAGAGGTACTCATTGCAAACTTCCGAATCGGTTATTTAGGTCTTTGTCACTGTGACTCAAGCCGCAACAGTGATTAATCTTATGTATCCTGGTCAAAACAGATGGCCATGGGGCTGTTCGGTGGCTACTGCGACTATTTCTAGTCAAGTCAAGTCAAGAAAAGCTTTATGCACCCAAAAGGTTAATTTTCTGCAGTTTATGAGTTTTACAGTGGATAGTTAAAATAATTGTAAACAAAAATAGAAATACAGTATGAGGAATTCTGCACTTTAATAAACGAGAAAAAAAATTAGGATAAGAGCTTTTCCCTGAGGTGGGTGAGGATATGCTGATGATTTACTAGTAAACGAGCTAGGTAAGGAATTACACTGTTTCGATATGTGGAAGTCCGCGCAGGAAGAAGTTGATATTTGGAGCGTGTCCGCGGAATTGACAGGGCTTTCGCGATATCTTGATGCAGACAGTGCCCTTGATCATGCGTTATTCTGTCAATGAATGTATCACAAGCGTCAGGATGCTTGGAAACAAAGAAATCAACTAAAACAGTTTTATCAACTCCACTGTAGCGGGACAAAAGTTCAAGGGATCTTGAAAATAAAGAGAAGTCTTTTTCTTTCAGTCCGGGGATAAAAATCGGGGAGCAGTATAGCCAGTGTGGAAGAATGCAGGCAATCACAAATTTAGTAATAAGATTATGCGGTACGGCCAGTTTCCTGAGCCTGTAAGAACAGAAGGACAGTTTTCGAACTTTTGTGAAAACGTTGATGACATGAACAGATTAGGACAGTTTATGGGTAAGGGTGACACCAAGGTATTTAACAGATGCAGATTTGGGAACGCTTTGATTG